TTACTTTATTTATGTATTTATCTCAAATATATTTTATGTCATAATATATATAGACGTGCGAGCGCACATGCACGCACACTTTTTTTTTTTTTGGGGGGGGGGGGGGGGGGATGATATAGGGAGGGGAAGAGGGTCCCCATCTAGAGAACACAAAAAAAAATACATTTGACTCACCCCTAGGGGTCCCTCTTCCTGTAATACAACTCACTCAAAAAGTAGTCTCTAAAATACAGGTATACCCCAAAACCAAAAAAGGAATCCAAAATAAAAAAGAGTAATCATGTGTGCTTATATATCTTGGAAGTATCTTGAATGAAAACAAAACAAAGAAAGTCTTGTAGAGGAGTCGTCCTCTGTGCTGCAGCCAAGAGCAAGGACTCCATTACAGCCTGTGTCTTCAAAAAAGAGAGCATTCTGTAATAACTGACAAAACCAGCCAAGCCAAACAAAATAGAGGAAAACCAAAAGAGAAAATTCAGCAATGTCTAGCCTAACCAAAAGGGCAACAGTTGATGGACAAAACATATAAAATCTTAGAACCGAATGTAAGGGAGATTTAGAGTATCTCCAATGATAAGTCTCCGAAGAGGGGTAGTGGGATGTGTGCCAACGTGACAAGTCTCCCCTTCATTTTTGGAAAACCAGTCAGCAGGAGAATTTCCCTCTCTATGAATAAACTTCCAGTTAACCTCAAGATGTTTTTCAGCTATAACAGTCAGTATTCTTTTAAATATACCCAACTAAATCCCACAGTGGAGAAGAAGTACCAACCAAAATATCATAAAGCATTTTTGAATCCATCTCCACCTTCAGCTTACCAAAATTGAAAATGTTGGCCACCACTAAAGCCAAAAAGACTCCCCAACATTCAACAGCCAATGAAGTTTCGGCAATAACTGGGGAAGCGAAAAAATCAAGGCATTTCCCCTCAAAATTTCTAAATAAACCCCCAACCGCAGCATAGTCAGCAAGCCAACAGCCATCAACATTTAATTTCACATAATTAGCATACGGGGGAGCCCAAAATTAAGCCGAGGGGCCTTAGTGGCTTTAACCACGGAAGAGCTAGCTCTTAAAGCTTTATTATAATAGGCAATCACATATGCAACAACCATAGTAATAGAGAGGGGAGAGGTGTGATACTTAAAACTATTTCTGGAGTTTCAAAGGAACCACATAACCAATAAAAGGAGGGGAAACCTCTCCTTGCGGGCATCAAAATCCTTCCATTGTCATAAATAACTAGTTAAATATCCTCTATGTGTCCAAGAGAAACCAAAGTGAGAGCCAATCATATCCCAAACCTCTAAAGAGAAAGCACACTCAAAGAAAATGTGTTATATCCTCCTCCTTTATTTTACTCATATGACATTTAGAGGCTAATTTCAAGCCCTTAAGCTTAAGAATGTCATCCAGTGGGATTAAAGACATTCGATAACGCCAAAGAAAAAAGAATATAGAAGATAAATATTTATACCAAATCCATTTACCCCATATACAGTCACGATGTGAGTGTAGAGTGTCATAAATGAGCTTGCAAACCGAGAGAGAATTGCTTCTTTTCCACATGGGGAGATCTCTATGAGTAGGAGTGATGGGGATTGTGAGTATATGTCTTGCATTTTGTTCCCCAACTGTAGAGCATAATTTAGAAAAATCTCAACGTTCATTATCAAAGAAATCAGAGACCAATAAAGAGTTAGAATGAAGGGAGTGAGATAAATCAGAATTATGTGAAAAACCCCAATTTTCATTCCAGAACGAAATCTTCCCCTCCCCAATCTCCCAAAAAATGAAACCATTTTTTGTATCTCTAGCATTCACCACAGCTTTCCAAATACGAGAATCTCCAACCTTCCATGAGACCAAGGAAGGATGAATATTAGCACAATGCACAATATTTTAGACAATATTTTAGCATCATAAACATAGCCCAAAGAGAGGAACCCAATCTAAATTTGAACTAAAGCTTACATAGGTTCACTTCCACAGTAAACTTTATGCCAAGTACTCCAGATTTTCTTTGTACCATTCCCCACCCAAAGAAATTTATTAAAGAGCTTCTTCATAGTACAAATAGCACTTTTCTTGGGATTGAACACTTGCAAAGCATATAAAGGAATACTCTGAAGAACACTAGTAAGTAAAGAGAACACGCCCCTAGTGGAAAGGAAAACATTTCTCCAATCATGCACTTTACGTTTGATTTTATCAATCACATCATCCATATGCACCTGTTTCCTTCTCCCTCTTATCAGATTCACCCCAAGATATTTAAGGGGAAGAGAGACATTCTGAAAACTTGTAAACATAACACCCCATTGAATAATATGCTACTTAACCTATTTGCCAAAAAATAATTGTCATTTGTCACTATTGAAACGAAGACCAGAGCTTCCTGTAAAAGCTTCATCACTTGTTTTATGGCAAGTTTAAAAGCATTAGTAAATATATATATATAGTTTGTAATTTATTATCTCCAATTTTTTTCTAAAATGAGTATTTATGTTTGTTTTGTATTTAATTGAACTTACTATCTCATGCACGATGAGTTTTTCACTTTTCATCGTGCACCAATTTAAATCATATGTGGACAATTTCGCATACTAAACTCATCAAGTTATTTGTTTTATGAAACGGGTAACAAATGAGTGTTTCTTTCTATTTGAACAACATATTTTGACCTATTTCTTTCGCAAAATTGCATTTTCCTTTCATCAACCATTGTTGTACTTACTTCATCAGCTTTTGAAACACGTGTAGGTTAACGGGTCAAAGACACAAGATTAAAAGCAAGCTATTTGTGAGAGTCTAAGCTATACTGCCCAAACGTTTATATACTACTTTCATATTTCAAGGCCTTGATCTCTAAGTTAAAAAACTTTCGCTTTACCTCATGCAAGTAGGGAAAAAACATGAGATATACTAGATGATAAAATGGTCAAACCAATGGAAAGATGTAGTGAAACAAAAGAGGGCGGTAGGGAGAAATGCGAAGGACCTTTGCTAACGAAAGCTCAAACAAACTCTGCTGATAAATAAAATGTCTTGTTTACAAAATCTTGGGATGGTAAAGAATGTGTAGAAAATTAGTATATATGATTCTTGATAGAAATTATGCAAAAATGAAACATAAAGAGAAATACAACCTAAAATTCTTGGCCAAACAGCAAGAGTAACAAAAGTATGCATTGAATAAAGAGGCTTCAAAACTGATGACAATGGGAAATAATCGATTACAATGTCGATGAAACACCATCATATAGTGTGTCTCCCTATACCCAAGCAACATGACTACTTGATTTCAAAAAGCCTAGAAAATATCTTCAAGCCAAAAAAATGGAGGCTTATTGCCCACAAGTTATGGTCTTTAAATAAACTAGACAATACTTGCAAACAAATTCAAGAAAGCTAAATTTGTACTCTACCTCATTATCCTTGTCCCAATTATTTGGGAACAAAATAATAGTTAACAAGATTAATCAGCTAAATGGATTCACTTAAACGACGGAAATTTCTTCGATTATCCTCCATCAAATGATGATCTTCTACAGGCTATGGACATGTAACATCCCGAACTCTCACCCATCGAGATATTGTCCTCTTAGGCATAATGGCCTGAATGTTTTTGTCCCATTGGCCTAACTTCCCACGAGGACACCCATCCCAAGTGCTCCAGCACGGGCATGCTTAACAATGGAGTGTTAAGAGTTATGGAGTGTTAGGAGTTCAGCTAAATTTTACTTACGGGGTTTTACAAACTACCCCACTTAAGTAACTGACATCCTCGTCCTTAGCCTAAAATCATTCACCAGGTAGATTTCATTCTAGAGGTGGCCCCTACAAATTCAAGAGATGATTCCCACTATCTAGCACTTTGTCCCATCTTGGCATCAAGAGGTGGCTCGCATACAGTAGCACTATGTTATGTATGACACTTAGTTCTCATCTTCAGAGTGATGTATTACTCTGATATCATTTGTAACACCCGAACTTTCACCCATCAACATATTGTCTGCTTTGGCCTTATGGTCTCAAGTTTTTGTCGCATTGGTGTAACTTCCCAGAATGTCAACCAACCCAAGAGTGCTCCAGCACAAGCACACTCAACTTTGGAGTTTCTAATGAAATTCCAACTCTCACCAAAAAGTGTCTTGATGTTTAAGAGTTCAGCTATATTCTACATATGGGCTTTTACAGGAAAAGAGACGAGAAATTCCATCAACGTTAACACCACAAAGTAATTGGCAGCTTCTAGTAGTTTGAATAGGAATAGCATTCGGATGAAATTTGGTTATGAAAGTGTGGTGCTGCGACTGTGTTTATGTAGTTCAAAGAGATGCCGTTATCAATTATAAAGTAAAGTTGGAATAAATGGGAGGAAATGTGATGCAGAAAAGGTAAGTGAGGCTGAACAGTTAAAAATGAGTAGATATTAAAAATTGGCATCAAGGAATAGGTTGACAATAGTAGAGAGTACAGAGATTCAATAAGGGTAGGATGGATCAATGAAGACTAATTAATGCCATGGAATGGAAGAAACAATATTGCCTGTCCTAATAATCATTTTGAGGTTCAATATATTATGGAAATATAGAATAGATTGAGAGAGTAGGAGGGTGGAGTTTCAGTAGGAGTCTCATAGGAGTCTAATAGATCAACAAAAAAAGAAATCAATTTCGCAAACCCCAGCTAACATATTCAGGTTCAATTGAATGGGCATGCAAATGCATGTAAAAGTATCAATTCCATTTAAAGAGGAAGAAATGGAACAAAAACAAAAATAGTTATTTTGTCCGCTTGTAGAACAGGTTCTATTTAGGCTGTACCAATAAATGCAAATTTGGCCAGATGGCCCTTGGGTCACTTAGTTCAGATTTGAACCTCCGAATCAGCATGTTACTTGTCTCTAAACAGGCCAATGAACCAGTTAAATTGTTATCTTGACGTATCAATGCAATTATACTGTTTAGTTCAGCAACTGAAGCAAGAAATATTACCTCCATAAACCAGGCCTTCAATTCTTTGCATGGATGAGATTCTGAGAGACCAATCTTTATCGGGTACTAAATTAGATGCAATCTTCTCAATTTCTCTAATGAGTTCCTTCTCAGAGTACAGTTTAATTGGTTCTACAGGCTTCTCAGTAATATCAGCTTCTCCTGAAACACAAATTTCCAAAGAAATTCATCACTACGACAGTCATGCACAACTTAACAAAAAAAAAAAAAAAACATAAAATGGATGAAGCAAAATGACTCAGAAATTTAAAATTAAAAGTCAAATAAAAGAAAGCATATGTATATTCCAATACTAAAATACTATGTTGAGCCTAAGGAATAGGCACCAGGTCTCTGCAAAAGAGCAGCAGTGCAACTAGTAGCTCAATTCAATTTGTAATTAGAGTAAAATCGATGAACTGGCCTAAATCCATTGTAGTTCGCTATAGCCATGACTGAATTTCACGGCATAATAAGTAGGATCGCAAATCTCATCAAATTAATAGTGCCAATAAAAAACTGCTCCGTAAATATGAATATTTCAGCTCATGTTCACCATAACTCCTAACTAGCAGTTCAGAGAGCTACACCTTCGGCTATACAGCACTAGTACTCTGTTTCAAGAAACTGAAAATCATAGGTTGAAATTCAGAATAATGCGGAATGTTTTCATTCATATGAAAAGGGAATATAAATAACAATTAACATGAATCCTAGAAAATGAAAGACAATAATAAAGAAAAAACAGAAAGAAACGATATAAATCCTAATATCTTTAATTAATCAATTCATCTTAATTGTTTTGGATATAAAAGAAACAACATAAAAATAGGAAAACTTAAAATTGGAAAAAAATAAAAATATATTAGGAAATAAATCTAATACTTGTAACTTATATGAATAAACTATTTCTTAATATAACTCCCCCTCAAATTGAAACATGGTTGAAAATCATGTTCAACTTGGATTTAAAAACATCAAACAATGGGCGAGGAATATCATGTGAAGTAGAACTTAAAGTCTTCATCCCTTATTGCAGTTGTCATTGACTGCAGTTCTTATGGAAGGCTCCTACAGGTAATATTAGGAAGGAGTTTGCAGGAAAGTAGACAACTTGCAAAGAAACTAACTTCTAGTTGACTGCAGTTCCTACGGTATATGTAGGTAGGCAGAAGGCTCTTACAGGCAATGATGCAGGGAAGTTTGCATAAAAACAGACAACATACAAGAAAAACTGACTTCTAATTGACTGTGGTTGTCTTTGACTGCAATTCCCGCAGTGTCTATATGTAGGCAAAAGGCTCCTACAGGTAATTTTGCAAGGAAATTTGCATGAAAGTAGACAACAGCGGTTGTCTTTGACTACAGTTCCTACAGTGTCTGTAAATAGGCGGAAGTGTCCTACAAGTAATGTTGAAGGGGAGTTTGCAAAGTAGACAATTGTGATTGTTTTTTAATACAACTCCTGAAGTGGCTGTACGTAGGAGGAAGGCCCCTACAAATAATGTTGTAAAGTAGTTTGCAGGGAAGTAGACAATCTGCAGAAAAAGTTCTACAGGGTCTGTTGCAGAAAAGATTCTAGATGATGGTCTGCTGCAAGAAAAGCTATGGCACAGGGGTTTATCCTCCCTCCTCTTCCCTCTTTCGTTTTTGTCCTTCTTCCTTTCGCTCCTTTCATTTTCCCCTTACTTCCCTTCTTTCCTTCTTAGCGCCTTCCTATTTTAAAGCCCTTTCCGAATTTTGAATTTTGATTATTTTTACTCACCCTTACCTAATCTGATTTTACCTCACTTTATTTCCTTGTCTAAATCTGAAATCTTGATTATATCTGATTTTTCTTTCTTATTTTAAGCATTGTCTAATATAAGTCCTAACCCCTCTTATATATAGGGGTTGGTTTTGCTTAGTTTGCTTAGAGAAGGAAATGATTTTTCTGATTTCATTTTGTGTGGACAGTCACTGGCGTCTTATTTTCCCCCAGAGGGCTATATTCGACGGTCAGAGTGAGTGGTACTTTGGCCCCTCTTCACAATGGTAATTATCTCTGACTTCCCTTGCCCTGCAGCCTTTCCTTTGTCGCTGCAATCCTCTCCCCTCACTGCAATCCTGCAAAACAACACTTCACTTTTCCCGTAGCTGCCCGCTAGCTCCTCCTGCAACATCTTCCTCCCTATCGTCGCCCCTTTTCCCCTTCCCTAAGTTCCCTTGCCGCATTCCTTCCCCACTCCAGCCAAACTCCAACAGCCCAACTGCAGCAACCACTCACTTTATCTTTTCATCATTGCCAACAGCCTCCATTATAAGGCCTTCCACCCTCCCAAAATTGACGGCTTTTCCGGCAACTTCACCAGCCACAACTTCCCAGCCTTCCAAATCGCAGCACCTGCTACCCTCCAAACAACAGTCTTCTTCTCTCTCCGCTGCCCTCCAACCTGCATCCCCGGTTGTCCCATCTCCTCCCACCACAGTCTTCGTCACCGTAAGGTTTCTTTTATGTTTATTTATCATTTATTTCATGTTTTGAAGATTCGTTATAAACAGTTTCAATTTCAACAATAATACTTCTACTTCTTTTGTGGCTTGGGCGTCCTCCTTCGGTATCGAGCTCCAAAGGAGAGCCTGATACAGAAAAAAGTTCGAGAAGGGTCTGATAAAGAAAAAAACTTCGGAGGAGGGCCTGATATAGAAAAGCCCAGAGGAGGGTCTGCTGCAAGAAAAGCTCTGGAGGAGGGTCTGTTGCAGGAAAAAGTTTCGAATGAGGGCCTGATGCTAAAAAAAAACTTTGTATGAGGGCCTCCGTGGATAGATTGAAGCGTGAACTTTTACCCTCCAGGTAGAGAAATGTTAATGTTTATCATGGAATTGCTCCTTCGGGAACCCAAAGTGAATGATTAAACATGCAAGAATCGCCAAATTTACAGGTTCTTGTCATCATATAGTAAGTACAATCTCTCTCCAGGGCGTTGGGGATGTAAAGCCAAGTGGCTCATACCCACAACTCTAGGGCATTCGTGCAAACAGTACTTTGACAATAAAACATCGCTTTGGTTAATAAAATTAAATGCCAAATATTCTAATGGTTGAGAGCTTCAGCAGGCCTCTTCGATCCCGCTTATCCACCCCATCAACCCCAAGCTACGACACCGACATCTAATTGGCACAAATCTTCCTGACCAAGTAGCTTCCAGCTCGACCTACGCCCATGCTAGAAATCTTAAAACCATTGGTCTGGCTAGAAGATGGGGAAGCAGTCTGCTTGTCGTCATCTGTAATGGTGAGTGCTTCTCTGGAATATCGCGAGGAACCCACAGCGGTTGGAAGGTAGGGATCGATGGCACGGAGTGTGTAACCGTCTAATCCACCGTTGTTGTAGGTCAAGCCATAGTAGATCTGATTCAACATTGGCAGAGGAGTGGCATATGAGCTAGGTTTTTCACGTGTGGAAGAGAGAAAAGGAAGATGAGATCGGTTAGAATGCAGCGGCAACATGCTCCCATCTGGTGTGTATTTCCTCGGCCTCCCCCTTCTTCTTCATCGGTCCAACAAGTTGGCTTGACCCAAACTATATTGTAGCAAAAAAAAGAGTTGCACTCATGGGTTGCTGCAGCGATGGAGGAGGAGGTCCCGTCGCCACCCCCAAAGCGACAGTTTGTGTTCCCGTCACATGAGATATTAGCGAGGTTAAGGATATCCGCCCTTGGCACCGCTGGAGCGGAGGACCAGAATCTCGCAAGATAACTCCCACTATATCCTCTTTACTTTCTGAATGGGAAACCAACTGAGTAAGAAAATCGTTATTTTCTCGCGGAAAAAAATGCTCTCGTTATGGATTTAGTGGCTATGAACCTAACTGTGAAAGAGAAGGGAAAGCGGGAATCTAATCTAGCGGTAAGAGCCAGCGGACAGCCTACAAGGAGAGAAAACATCCTTCCCTTCCTACAAAGAGAATGGCAGAAAGAGAGTTTGGAGGCTCTGGAGGGGACACCGGCGACAAGGGTAGGGAATTTGGCTCTAATACCATGCTAAAATTCAGAATAGTGTAGAAGGTTTTTATTAATATGAAAAAGGTGTATAAATAACCCATATATGAATCCTAGAAAAAGAAAGACATAAAAAATAAATAAAAGAAAAGGAAATATATAACTCCTAATATCTTCAATTAATCAATTCATATTAATTGTTTTGGAGATAAAGAAATAATATAGAAACCGGAAAGCCTAAAATAGAAAAGAAAATAAACTCAATCCAAGGAAATAAATCTACAATAGAAAAGAAAATAAAATTATATTAAGAAATAAATCTAATCCTCATAATTTCCACTATGAATAAATTATTTCATGATATAACTTCTAGCGACATAAATATTAAAGAAGTGATGGACCGTATAAACTCCTGAACATTATCTGTGCTCAATAGTTCAGCATCCAAAAGGAAAAAAACAAATAAAGGGTATCATCATTGAAAAATCATACAATATAAAGATCTACATTGAGAGATCTGACAACAATATTTCAGTTACCAAAAAGAACAATGTTGATATCTATAGAAGGATGTCAGAAGAATTTCAATAAAAAAAAGTACATTTAAGTTAAATGAAAAGGTCATCATTTGCACGCTAAAGTTGCGTGCATCAGTTACTTCTTATGAAATGTATGAACTGATAATGAAATGAAATTCTTTGATGTCAATAGAATGATGAGATGTTATGAGTACATAATTTTGGACAAAACAAGCATCCAATCGAATGCAAAACACCATAAACTTAGTATGATATAGAATCACAAGTAGAATGGAAGATGAAAGACTCCATTAATATGAGCAACCATAAATAACTAAATGAGCAGACTTCTGAAACGCACAATAATTGCTTGAGGGTGAAGCGGGGCATAAGAGGGTCATGTGTCCACAAGGATCGAACACCTGGTTCCTGCGATCGAGGAAGAACAAAACCAAACACCTCTTCCTTTATTTTTCTTCTAATTTTCGACGTGTTTCCTTTTATCTTTCTTTCCTTTCTAGTCATTTATTATATATGTGTTGTATTAAAGATTGGATTTTTAGTTTTTGCTTGAGTTTGTTCGGGACAGCCACCGGCGTCTATGGAATTTCCGTCCTAAGTCTGTATCTAGCTTCTGAAGTAGTGATTATCCTCCCTCAACCCTTCCTCATTCTTCCCACATTGCTCTTTGTCGTTATTCATGACCATCTCTGCTACAGACTGCCCAGGACAGTTGTTGTTGCTATCCTTCTGCAATTTTCGCCTTTCGGCTGCCAACATCGCCTTCCCCTCCCTCCACCTTACTTCCACCACAGTTCATACCAACCCACATCGTTGTTGCCGCCCAAAAACCCTTTTGCCTTGTAGTTTTACTGCCATCAGGCCATCCAACATCACTGTCATGACCTAGAAACCCCCTTGCCATGTTGTTTTACCACTGTCCAACCATCCAACCTACTTGTTACCGCCCAAGACAGCAAGCGTGTGTTGTTTCCCTGTTGTAACCGCCCCATTGATCCCTTTACATACTTGGCATCCACCTTTCCAAGCCCTTAACGATCACCACCACCACCCCAAATCCACCCTGTTAGTGTGTCGTGTGTAGTATTTGTTGTTATTTCCTATTTTTGTTATGTGACTATAATTTCCTATTTGAATACAAAAATACTATTGTTTTTCTATTGTTGTTTGATTAAACTGTAGTATCATTTGATATCAAAGCTACCCTAATCCTATTCCTATCATAGAGTTACCTAAATCCATCAATACCTAACCCAACCTCCAAGCAAAACCCTTCCCATTGTTGATTTCTATACATCAGCCCCCGAAAATATTTTTCCCACCATAGACCAACCCTATACACCCTTTTTCACCTCCAAAACATGAATCCTAGCCACACCAACGAGGAGACAATTGCCAGAAACTTGATCGAAAGTAAGTGACACAAAGCGAATTATAGAAATCCGCAAAAAGATGTTCAAGAACTTTCTATGGAAAATATGCAGTGGGAAATCCTTCAACTGCAATGAAGGCTTGCTGCCTTTGAGAGGAAACAAGAAATATCACCCTTAGCCACAATGGTGATTCATAGGATAATGAAGTCAATCTCTTCCACAAAGCTATTTCCAATGATGAATAACCAAAACCATGAAGATTTGGCAAGGAATATCAGAGGAAAAGCCAAAATTTGTTTTGTAGCTTGCCATGTTTTGGCGATCACATGGATCCGAACGAAACAGTGGAACGTGTCTTCAAACACCAAGATGTCCCACCAGACAAAATGGCAAAGCTAACAACCATTAAGTTAAAGAAAAGTGTGTTGATGTGGTGGAAAAAATTTTAAGAAACTTCTCCATAAGAGAATAAATAAAATCACTACCCGATTCAAGATGAAACGAGAGATATAGTAGCTAACAATTCATTACAAACATGACATGTTCTCGAGACGACTTCAGCGGGTGATTATTACATCTGACATGCAAAGCTCAACCCCAAGATAAAGCAGCAAGAGTACACCCAACAGAACATCCAAACCGACCATACCTGAGAATAAACAGTTCAGAATAGAGAACAGGCGGGTCACAAGTAGCATTCCCAAATCCGTCTCAGCCAAAAACTGTGTTAAGTGCCACGGTTTAGACACAGTGCATCAGTTTGCCCAAAAAAGACTGATTTCTTTCAATGAGCAAGGAACAGTTGAAGAAATGGACAACGATATAGAAGATAGAGACGACGTCAAAGAGGAGTCTCAACTTCCAGCTGACGAGGAAGGAACGCAAGTTATTGAAGTTGAGACCATGAAAGACTATTGATGGATTAGCATTGGTTATTCTAATAAATAATAAGTCTGATGAGCCGATACCTAAAAAGGGACGGTCCCTCATGAAGTGATTGCTAGACATCATGACCAATAGTTTATCTATTGGGTGATTGCCACTAAAAATGGTTCAACATGTCAAAGATTTCATTCGAGAGTTTGTTCCTCCATACAAATTTGTTTATCAAATGATTTTAGTCAAGTACGAAGAGTGAAAGAAACAAATTACATATTTAATTCTTCGAGACTTGGTTTGTGAAAATACACAGCAACGTGCAGTTTTAGTCTAACTATGCCAAAAAAGATGGATATTTATTTTATCAGAACAAACTTTAGAAGGACATAGGTGTTTTGGAGTTGACTCCATACTTGACGGATGAGGTCAAAGTTCCCCCAATAGCGGGAGATTGGCGCAGACCGTAAGGGAGTCACGCGATCTCGAGTCCTCGAGGATGGGCGTCAGGTTCCTATGATTGGGGTAGAACCGAGCTGAACATCTCTCCTTTTATTTTCCTTCCGATTTTCAACATATTTTCTTTTATCCTTCTTTCATTTCTAGACATTTAGCATATGTGTGTTGCATTAGGGATTGAATTTTCATTTTTGTCTTGAGTTTATTCGAAACAGCCACCGGTGTCCTTGGATTTTCCGTTATAGGGTTGTAACCAAGGCCGAGTGGTGTTGCAATTATATCTTGCTTCCGAGTTGGTGATTATCCTCCTACAACCCTTACGTATCTTTCACACATCGCTCATCGTGCCTTCTCTGTTGCCGATCTCCCAGAACAACTGTTGTTGTTGTCCTTCCTGCATTTTTCCGTCTTTTAGCCGTCAATTGCCTTCCCTTCCCACCACCTTGTTGTCGCCACTATTCCAGCCAACAAACATCATTGTTGCCGCTTTACTGCTGTCCAGCCATCCAACATCATAGTTACCGCCCTGAAACCTATTTGCCTTGCTATTTTACCACTGCCCGACCATCCTACCTACTTGTTGCCGCCAAGGACAGAAAACACCTATTGCTTCCCTCCTAGAAATGCCCTTCTACTCCCCTTCCCTACCTTGGTTACCACCTTTCCAAGCCCTTAACGATCACTACCACCACACTAAATCCACCCTAACAGTGTGTCGTGTGCCATGTTTGTAGTAATTTCCTACAATTTTGTGTTTATAATTTCTTATTTGAATGCAGAAATAATATTATTTTTCAATTATTGTTTGGTTAAAATCCAATATCAGAGGGGCAAAAACATTACTAATCTAAATTATATAACTAAAAGGCTACAACAAGAAAATTATGGCCCAACTTGACTTGGCTTGAGCAAAATAAAGTGTGGTGTTAATCATCTTTGAGAAGTCACTAAAAGCTTATAGAACTAAATGAATGATTGGGAAAAATGGAATTCACTATCTAATAATCATTTTACATCCTTTATCATTGAGTTCATGGTCACAGAAAAAAGCGCTTGAAACAAGTCCAAAAAGTTAAATATTTAACACCGAAAATGCTGAAATGAGAGTGGCTGGTGAGAGAGAGGTAAAGGTCAGGAAAAAAAATCCGAAACCTCCTCCATCCCAGTAATTGTAATTGATAGTCATTTGCATTGCTAGCTTGTGAAATAATAAAATAGCAGAAAAGAATTCTAATTAAACTTCCATTGGTAAAATGTGTTCTCATTTTGCTGTCGTTTGGTAGCAAACTAAAGGAGTAACCACTAGTGTCACACAAAAAACAAGCGTTTCTGCGAGTACTGTGATAGAGGATACTTTCGACTGCATGTTTCACTCAAATCAAAATTCCATGTCAGATCATTAAAAGGAACTATAAAATAAAGCTGAATTCTGCTCTCATCTACTATCAAAATCAAATAAAATGTATGTTGAATTCTACTCTAGAACTTATAACCAAAAAAATGTTATTAAAAAATGTCTTACTATGTCAAGAAGTGCACTTTTTTAGCAGCAACAACCAATCAGACGTGATTAAATAAGAGATGTGATCAATATCAAGTGATTATAGCATTTGGGTCAATATAAAACATTTACAAAGAGCAACAACGAAACAATTCAAACAGTTTTTCACAAATCGTAATGCAATCAATCCTATACTTTAGAACCAACATTGTGCGGTTGTAGCTCGCTGAAACTGCCTTCTATTTGGAACCTTCAACATTAGGGTGAGCTAATTATATGAAAGAAATTTCAACATATCTGCATATCAATTACAAGCAAATTAAAATTAAAAAGAAGATTTGAAATCTTCCAAGGCAAAAAACTACATCCACCTCCAAGAAGTGACATCTCCCTGCGAGTGATCTTAGTCCTTGGGCTGCCTTTTCTTTGGTTAGCAGGAGCTGATTTGGTTTCAGTACAAACAAAATGATTTCCAGTAACATCTGATTTACGAACCTTTGCTTCTACTCGTTCCAACCTAGCATTAATATCTTTAATCTACAAAACCAATTTGAGACATTAAAGGGGAAGAATTTACTAATACATAGTGATAATAAAACAGGCATATTTGTCCATAAAGTCGTGATTACAATTTTAGTTTAGAACTAACTGAAGTATTACCAAGGATGATGAAAGATGGTGGCGTTGAAGTTCTTCAAAAAACTGAGGTCCAACTTGAGAGTATGCCTCCTACACAGCAGGAAATTTGACAAATTCCTCAGATCCCAAAAATCCTCTGCTTTAATAATAAAAAATAATAATAATAGAAAGGCACTCCCACGTTCACATAGAAGTTTTTGCGTGGGTGAGAAAAATCTTCAACAGTCAAAGTTACAAAACATTGCAAATCCATCAAAAAAATCATACATGACACACTTAAAAAATTTCAATAATTTAACATGTGATTGATACCGGAGAAAGCACAAACCACAAAAGAAAATAATAATAATATTATTGTTGAAATTCAGAAGTTACTACTACGACGCTTCAAAACAACAAATAAATGATAACAAACATAAAAAGACACCCTAGGGCGAAAGCCATAGGGAGAATGCCGGCTGGACAGCAGGCATGATGGTTGGCGGGGTGCCCGCAGAAGCAACTGGAGCTGAAATGGGGAGGTGGCAGCAGTGGCATAGCTGGAATGGAACACTGTAACAGGTAAGGAGCAGTTGGGCTGGAAGGACTGAAAGAGTTATGGGAAATGAAGGGGATTTGGTAAAATCTGTGGGGGTGGCAGGGCCACTGTATGGGTAGAGAAGCTGTAGGTGTAAGTTTTTGCAGAACTGGGTTGTGGCTGGAGGAAGTTTGGAAGATAGGGAAGGGGTTGAATGTGGTTGCAGAAGCATAAATGTCTCCCTGGCGTCAAGCTACAGCCGGAGCACCATACAGAACCTTGGAGGCGTTCACCACCTCGAACGAATCATAACCGGAGCACCTTCTCGTTGACGGGTACAACCCCCAGAGGGGAAGAACGACTCGAAGGCGGTAACTGAAATCAGCAATCATCAAAAAACCTCCCCACCCTAGGCAAACACAACATAATATAAAGAATCCTAGCACAAAGAAATAAGAAGGAATTTAAAATTAGGAATGAAATGGAAGATGGTAGAAAAGGTAGGCATTGAATAGAGAGGAATTGGAATTGGGAAGAAATGGAAATAGGAAAGGGGATAAAAAAGGCAAGCAATAGAATAGGAAGGAATTGGAATTTGATAGAAATAGAAAAGATTATGGAATAGGAAAGATGATGGAATAGAAAAGGAGAGGGGGTAAGAGGGGCTGGCCCGCAGCACTATAGCAACTACAGTATTGCGTCTGCGACAGTTTAGCAGCTACATTGCCGCGACCCGGTAAGATCCCGGGTCAATCTCCTGGGATTGGCGTTCGTCGAAGCTTTTAGGGCAGAAAAATTTTACTGAGGGGTGGCTTGGATAAGGGCGGATGCTAGAAAACCCTAGGATAAGATTAGGGTTGGGCTAGCTCTGAAACCAAATGATATTAGAAAAAACCCAAATCATAAAAGAAACAATAATAATATTATTATTATTATTGAAATTCAACGATTGCAATGACAACACTTCAAAAACAGGAAATGAACGATAATAAACATAAAAAAGACACCCTAGGGCAACGGCAACGAGATGAACCATAGCTAGACAACAGGCAGGATGGTCAGCTGGTTGCTTGCAGCATCAACTGGTTTGATGTGGGAAGGTGACAGCAGGGGAAGGGTTGGGATGGAGTAGTGTAACTGGTAAAGTTCAAGTGGGCTGGGAGGATAGCAGGAGTTATGGGAAAGAAAGAGGTTTTGGTAACAGCAATGGGGCTGGCAGGGTCACGGTATGAGTAGGGAAGCTGTAGATGTGGGTTACAGCAGAATTGGATTGTGGCTGGAGGGAGTTTGGAAGATAGGGAACGGGTTGGAGGGGGCTGCGGAATGATAAATTTCTCGTCAGAGTCGACCATAGTCGGAGCACTACTCGTAACCTTGGAGACGGTCGCCGCCTCGAACGAGATACAGTCGGAACACCTTCTCCAGTACAGCCCCAAGGGGAAAAGAACGCCTCGAAGGTGGCAATTGAAATTAGCAATCAACAAAAACCTAGGCAAACACAGTATAATATAAAGGATCTTAGTACAAAAAAATAGTAAGGAATTTGAAATTGGGATAGAAGTGGAAGGTGGAAGGTGGAAGGTGGAAGAAAAGGTAGGCAATGAATATGGAAGAAATAGAATCGGAAACAAACAGAAATAAAGGAGTAGAAAAGGCAAGCAATAGAATATGAAGGAATTGGAACTGGATAGAAATAGGAAAGGGAGTGGAATAGGAAAGAAGAGGGAACGGGAAGGGTTGGTCCGCGGCACTGTAGCAGCTACAATGTAGCGACCCGGTAAGCTCATGCGCAAGTGATTCATCTTCATTAGAGATTAAATATAACTTCCCCCAAAAAAATATGCTTAACTTTTCCTTACAAACACGTCCACACTAAATCAAATGATTTTTTATGTATAACATGATTTCAGAAGATGTGCATCAACTATAAGCAGATAATATCCCATGACTTTACATGAACCATAAAAAGCAGGAAAAAAAAGGACAGTTCAAAAACAAAAGCACTCCTTTCAATATTACTAAATACAGGCAGACACTTTCCCAGGGGCAAAGCAATGCAAATCCACAGTGCCACGCACTTGCCCTAGGGCACCATTGTTATGGTTTTGCCCAGGTAAATGCTTTACCTATGAGTGGGATTGAAGGTGGGGCTTGTAGGAGAACTTTTCTAAAGCCCCCTTGACCACCTCAAAATTGGTGCTTATAATGGTGCACACCTTCTAAAATAAATTTTGACCTTGAAGATACGTTACTTAAATATAAAGATAATTCAATTTGGAGGAAGGGTTGTGGAGCTTTGGACTTCGAAAAATTGTGTTGGGCACTTTTAAGAGTTTGATTCCAAAGTCAAACTTTCATAAGATTTTGTGAGTACTTTACAATCTAGTTTAAAGTTTCTCATAGGAGCAAAAACCACATGACTAATTACTTCTCTCGCTCATGAGATTGAAACTTGAATTACAACTATTTGATAAATGGTAAACACATTGTATAGTAGCAGTAGCGACTTTAGATTAAAAAAAATAGTCGAATCTAGGTTAGACTGCATTGTAAGAGAAATGATGACAAACTCAATCAACATTCTACAATTTCATCGTTTGAGCCATCACAAAACCTGATTTAATTAGTCAGAGGGAGTTGACCCAACTTGATTAAAAGATCATTTTCAACAACATAGGAATGCATTTCCAAAGAAATTTATAGGCCTTGAAGGCATATTTGTATAAGGAAAAATTTTAATTAAGATTAATTAATGATGGGCTTTATGTTCTATGAAGTTCACTCCAAGATTCAGCACTAAGGAGATTTGAAACATTAAGAAACATTAAGGCTTGAGCTATAATCGTAATTTAATGTGGTTATTTCACAACTAAACACCTAGTAGGAGGGCCTTGATCATAATAATAATTTTTTTGGGACCAGTTGCGAGAAAATCACTCATTAAATAACACATACTACATCCTTAATAGATTGATCATTTAGGCACACCTAATATTATAATGGCTCCTTTTGAACTGAGATTATTCTTAAATTTATGAGTTGGTATCCTCAACAATACTATAGTAGAGGATAAAAGAAAATTCACCCTTTGCTTTAACCAGCAAATTTCATGTAATGTTTTGAATTTTGTAATTTTTCTAGAGTTTTATATTTTTATCTTTATTTAAACTCAAAATTATTTATTTCGAGGTTTAAATGTATTTTGAAAAATAGTCCTCTCAAGGTGAGATTCACTATCAACACAGATATTATTAGAATATTTTAAATTATAAAATGATGTTGCCATAACTTTATTAACTCTATATGTTAATCAAGTGCATAATTTGTCTTTTGTGTGAACCTGTTTCGAAAATAAATAATGCTAGACTTTTCTAACTTTAGCTCAATTATAGAGGTTAACTCTAAGAGTAAGACCATGTGATTATTCCTTATAGGGAGGACATCAAGACTTCGAATTTTAAAAAGAATTTTTTAAAAAAAGATATTGTATTTTAAGATTGAGATGCAAATTACACTTCATTACTATCACAAACTTCTTTGTAGACAAAAGAGAAAATCTTAAGATGAATTGTATTTTATTATTGAGATGCAGATTACACTTCATTACTATCGCAAACTTCTTTAAATCTGAAGTCTAATCTTTCACAAGTACTCAACATACACTTTAACGTTTTTCCGCCTTTGCTCACTTATAATATAATAAATCATCATTTAATGTGTGCCTATATATTTTGAATCAAAAGCAATTACATCATAGCACTACAATCCATCTTCAGTTATAAAAGAACATTTCTCACAATCTATAGGATCTATTTTTTTTTATGATAGCAACATATTGCATTAAGAAAACTCATGATAAAAAAAACGATCGAGTCGACCACAACATCAATCTCATAGGCTAATAGCTATGTTTTAAACATGCTAAGTTCAAATTTACCCCATTTGCCCTTTGAAAAACCATTACATTTGAAATCCACTCAAGATATTGCTCTCTAATGAATCCATCCTCTAATAGTTTCTAAATCATGGTAAGTTGATTCTCCGAAAGTTTGGTTGGCCTAACACTTTACTTTGCCACCCTAACATTCTTATTGCCATTCCTCAATCTCGACATTTTAGCTGTCAACCACTTAGATTTCTAGACATTCTCCTGGAAAATTTTGGCCAACTCTCTTTGTGTTCTTCATTGAAAGAAGCACTGACAAAGAAAGTTTAGCTTCTTTCTCTTTCAAAAATTGTCACTTCACTGTTACTTTAAAAGCTTAGAGTTAGAATCCCCTTTGAACTTCGAGTTGAAGGAACTCTTCCTAAACGTTCTTACTGGCCTTCAAAAAGGACACCCTCTATTATAATCCTCTCACTGCCACAACTACTCCTCCCACTAAAAATTTAACTGCAACAAGATATGTTGAGATTACACTAATTTGTTTAGAATAAATCGGTCAATGACACCATTCTAGAATTACTAGAAGGTAGAACGAAACACCAAAATGAGCTAGAGAAGTTGTTGGATGGATGGCGGCGGATAATCAGTGCGAGCAGTTACGGTGCAGCAACTCGAAGGGGAGAAGAA